ATATTATTGAGATTATTATTATGATTATTATTTGTGTTCCTTTATATCTCGTCTGTAACTCTTAGGAACCCATCTTCTGTTGCCCTATCCAGTCCTGATAGCCCTGTGTAACTAAATTTGAAAAATATTATGGGGGTTGAATGAAAAGTAATGCCTCCACCTTTGTAACTTTTCAACGGATGGCAGCACTGGTATGCATCAGGTACTGGCTTGTTCAGTAGACTCTCCTCTACAGTTCCATATTGCCGGGAAGCCTTAGCATTGAACGGTTGTGTTGTTAAAGTGCGAAGTGTGGAACCCTGCGCAGACGGTCGGTCAGTGCGACTTAAGCAATGTGCAGTCATTGAATTCTTGACAGCAGAAGGTGTCACCCCAAAGGAGATTCATCAGTGAATGCAAGCTGTTTATGGTGATTGTGTTGATTTGAGTACTGTGCATCGTTGGGCGAGTATGTTTAAAGATGTTGAGGTGGGAACATCTGACTTGAGTGACAAAGAGTTGGACATCCTGTGACAGCAACCACCTATTTTCGCAAGCAAAAGTTTGACAGACTGATTCAGGATGATCGTCGTATCACTGAGAGAGAAATTCCAAGCATAATTGACATTTCACAAGAACATGCGGATCACATTATTGCTTTGCTTGGCTATCAGAAGATCTGTGCACGATGGGTACCCAGGATGAGAGAACTGTGAGACACTGGTTGCAGAAACAGAGTGTCGACTTCTTCCGTGACGGCTTCAGAAAACTTGTTAATTGTTGGCGGAAATGTATCCAATTGTCTGGTGATTATGTAGAAAAGTTAATAGTGGTAGTTAAAGAGCACATTCTAAGGATTTTTTTCTGCATTTGATTTATTAAAATATTCCCATCCAAACGAAGTAACGAAGGTGGAGGCATTACTTCTCATTCAACCCTTGTATGTTCCCGGTTTGAAAGTGTTATTCCTGTTTCATTGTGCAGTCTTTACTTTGGGCCACACAGCCCTATATCCCAGAATATCAAGGCAGGAAATCCCACAATATCTGCTTTGAACTGGGTTATCTGAGTCCACACTCAGATAAGGTGGGATTTTCTGCCTTGATATTCTGAGATATAGGGCTGTGTGGAAGGGCCCTTTGGAAGGAGTTGTAATATTCCAAAGATTTTTGTGGCTGACACGAACTAGGTTGAAGTGGTTGAGAATCTATGAGATTCTACCATTCCTATTATTCTTATGCCACCTACCATTCTCTATGGGTGCCATGGGTTGACTAAGAGTCTTCTGTGTTGTTGTGTCTTTGTTGTTGTTGTTATGACATCTTCCATTCCTATTTTTATTATCATTATGATGCCATCTACCATTCTCTATGGGTGCCACCGGTTGAATAAGAGTCTACTGTGTTGTCGTCGTCTTTGTTGTTGTTGTTATGGCATTTACCATTCCTATTATTGCTATCATCACCATCATTGTGACATCTTCCATTCCCATTATTATTATTATTATTATTATTATTATTATTATTATTATTATTATTATACCAGCTACCATTCCTTATTGTTGCCATGGGTTTATTTATTTATTTATTTCGGGCATTTCTACCCCGCCCTTCTCAACCCCCAGGGTGGCTTCCAACCGGCACATATTTGATGCCTACAATTCAACATAGTAAAATATACAACAACAGTAATTATAAATAATTAAGACATTAAGTTAAGACAATAAAAACTAATAGAAAAAAGCCAGTCTGGTGGCCATCGTTTCGCCGAGTTCTGTAATTAGTGAATCCATTCAGTTTATCATAATCCGTTCCAAAGCTCTAGTCATCATTGTCCTTGTCAGTCTGCCAGATTACCCAAAGGCCTGGTCCCATATCCATGTTTTTAATTTCCTTCTAAAAGAGAATAGGGATGACGATGATCTAATTTCCCCGGGTAGTGAATTCCACACGCAGGGGGCCACCACCGAGAAGGCCCTGTCCCTCGCCCCCGCCAGTCTCATTTGTGACAAGGGTAGGGCTGAGAGCAGGGCCTCTCCAGTAGATCTTAAATTCCTAGGCGGGACATTAATTTAAATTTAATTAAAATTAAGGGTCTATTGTATTACTGGATGATATGATTACACTATGGAACCGAATTTGAAAAAAAAATGTTCTGTTCCTGGTTTGAAAGTGTTATTCCTGTTTAATTGTGTAGTCCTGGCTTTGAAAGTAGTTGTTTTCCTCCAGAAACTTGTTTTTGTGGCTGCCACAAGCTATATTGAATGGGTTGAGACTCAATGAGCAATTCATTGAAAAACGATTGCAAAATGTGCTGCAGGATGATGTCCCTCCCATAAAAACAACATTTGTGCAATGTATTGTCGAAGGCTTTCATGGCCGGAATCACTGGGTTGTTGTGTGTTTTCCAGGCTGTATGGCTATGTTCCAGAAGCATTCTATCCTGAAGTTTCGCCTGCATCTATGGCAAACAACCTCTGAGAATGCCTGCCATAGATGCAAGCAAAATGTCAGGGGAGAATGCTTCTGGAACATGGTGACACAGCCGAGAAAACACAGAACAACCCAAAGTTTGTGCAGTTCAATAGACTTTTCCCATGTTCTGATGGTAGAACCAATTAGGAAATGACACTGATAACCCAGGAACAAAAATCATAATGTTACATACTGATAATTCTTATTCCAAAAGTGAACCCGTATTCATTTGCAGGGAGGAAGCCTCAATGGCCTAAACATCAAGCTTCCAAAATAAAATAAGAGAAAAATAAAAGAATGTATAGATTAGAATCATCTGCATCGAATTCCAGGCCACTTAAGTGTCTTCGTTGAGAAAATGCAGAATATCCTGTCTCCTGACTTTAATTTTCTTGCAGCTGATCATCTTTATTTTTTTTTCAGCATAAAAATATTGACTTCCCTTTGAAAGTAATAACTGTGCTTGTTTGTTTGTTTGTTTGTTTGAAAGATGTCTTGCGACATTCATATACAGGACAAAAAAACCCTTCTAACTATATTTTTGTATGGCTTGTCATGTGAAAACAACACTGAGCAGAACGAACATTGCTTTGCTTGTCTAGGCTCCTGCACTCCCTCCCTAACTCTCCTTCCTCTCTATGTTAGGCTTTCCATACCCATCTATCCATCATGTATCTATCCTGCCATCCAGGTGTCTGTCAATCTCTCTCCATCTATCTCTATCTACCTATCCATTCATCTGTGTGTTTCTATCTATTCGTGTATCCATCTGTCTATATCTCTATCGATCCATCAATCTATATACTATATCTACCCATCAATATCTATATCTATTCATCTATCTATCTCTGTTTATTCACCTGTCTATATTTCTATCTCCAATCAATCCATTCATCTGCGAGTTTCTGTCTGTCTGTATCTATATCCACCTATCCTATATCTCTTATCTATCCGTCCGTCCATCCATCCATTATCTTTATCTATCTTTCCATCCATCCATCCATCCATGTATCTATCTATATCTATCTTTTCATGTATCTGTCTATATCTATTCATCTAGCCCTCCATCTCTATCTCTCTAATCTATCTATCCACACGTGTATGTGTGTTATCTATCTATCTGTATCTATCTACCCATCCATCTATTTCCATCCATCCATCCATCCATGTATCTGTCTATATCTATCCGCCTATCCATCCGTCTATATCTCTATCTCTCTAATCTATCCATCCAGCCGTGTGTGTATCTGTCTGTATCTATTCATCCATCCATCTGTATCTCCATCCATCCATGTATCCATATCTTATCTTCCCATGTATCTGTCTGTCTATATCTATCCACCTATCCATCTATCCGTCTATATCTCTATCTCTCTAATCTATCCATCCATCCATGTGTGTATCTGTCTTTATCTATTCATCCATCCATCCATGTATCTATATCTTATCTTTCCATGTATCTATCTGTCTATCTATCTATCTATCTACCTATCCATCCATCCATCTCTATCTCTCTAATCTATCCATCCATCCATCTGTGTGTGTATCTGTCTGTCTGTATCTATTCACCCATCCATCTATATCCATCCATCAATATCTGTCCAATCATGTATCTATCTATCTGTCCATCTATATTTATCCACCCACTCACCCACCCACCCATCTATATCTCTCTATGAATCCATCCATCCGTGTGTATGTCTGTCTGTATCCATCCATGTATCTACCTATATCTAGCTATCCATCCATGTATCTATCTATCTATCTATCTGTCCATCTTTATCTATCCACCTATCCATCCATCCATCTATATATCTTTCTAATCTATCTGTGTGTATGTATCTGTCTGTATCTATCCACCCATCCGTCTATATCTATCCATCCATCTATATCTATCTATCCATGTATCTATCTATCTATCTGGTCTATATCCACCTGTCCATCCATCCATCTATATTTCTATCTTTCTAATATATCAATCCATCCATCAATATATGCCTATATCTATCCACCCACCCATCTATATCTGTCTATCCATCTGTCAATATCTATATCTATCCATCCATCTGTCTATATCTACTCACCTATCCATCCACCCATCGATATCTCTTGTCTATTTAATATTTTCTTCCACCTGTCTATACCTTTATCTATTTGTCTGTCTGTCTGTCTGTCTGTCCATCTATCCATCCCTCAATGTGGCTGTCTGTCTACCTATCTATCTATATCTATGTCTATGCATAGGTAGGTAGGTAGGTAGATAAAGATAGTTAGATGGCTAGATAGAGGCAGATAAACAGATATGTATATTTATTTGTGGGGAAGCCAAGATAGGAATCCTATCTGCATTTCACTCATTCCAATCTGGGATAATAATATCCTTGTCTCCTCCTTGAGGTCCATGTTGTGAGACACAGAAATGGGACTCCCATTTACAAAATGGAGGCAGAATCCCATCATGCAATGGTCACAGCCATTGTGTTTTTGTAAAGCTGGAAACGAATGGCTGGTTGAGCCCCCCAAAGGAAAAACATCCAGACGCCTTGGTTTGCAAATAACAATCCGAACTTGTTTAATTGCATTAAGTATAGGTTCTACCTATCCTAAAAGTGTGTTAATAAAATAAACCTAGGTTTCCACTTTAGCTTTAGTTTAAAATATATATGTATATAAATATAACTATTTATATATAAAATTTATCGTTCTTCCAGCTCTTTCAGCAGCTCGTCGAAGTGGGTGATGTACCATTTGGCTTTCTCCTTGACTTGCTTCCGGACCACGTTTCCGCCAAAGCCGATGAAGCAGTCCTGCAAAGGGGAAAAAGAACGGAGAAGATGGGCCGTGGCTCCATTTTGGGAGAGGCTTTTGACTCTGAGCTTGAAAGGAGGCCGCTCAAAATCCTGGACCTATTTGAAGCCTTTGAAGGACAGGCAGACGGACCTTCCCTTTTGTCAACAGCTCCTTGACGGTTCGGATTACAATCCCAAACAGCTTCCATTACCCTCGCCGGTATCACGCCGGCTCCAAGAACTCATTGTACTACTCTCACGGTCCGGATGTGGCCCTCCAAGGAGATTTATCCGTCACCTGTCTCTGTTCCTAGGCTGCCACCATTCCTGCCAATGTAGAAGGAAGGAAGGAAGGAAGGAAGGAAGGAAGGAAGGAAGGAAGGAAGGAAGGAAGGGGAAGAGAAGAGAAGCAAAGAGAAGAGAGAGGGAAGGATGGGAGGAATGAGGGAGGAAAGGGAAGGAAGAAGAGAGGAAAGGCAGGAGAGAGAAAAGAAAGGGAGGAAAGCAGAGAAGGATGGAAAGAAGGAGGAAGGATAGGAACAAAAGGAAAGGAAGGAGAGAGGAAAGGAAGGAGAAAAAGGGAAAGGAAGGAGAGAGGGAAAGATTGAAGGAATGAGATAGGAATGGAAAGGAAGACAAGAGTAAAGAAGGAGGGAGAGAGAAAAGAAAGGCAAGAAAGCAAAGAGAGAAGGATGGGAGGAAGGAGGGAGGACAGGAACAAAAGAAAAGGAAGGAGAGGAAAGAGGAAAGGAAAGAGGGAAAGGAAGGAAGGAAAGGGAGAGGGAAGTATGAAAGGAAGGGAGGAGAGAGGGAAAGGAAAGAGAGGGAAGGCTGGAAGGAAGGCCAGAAAGAATGGAAGGAAGGAGAAAGAAAAAGAAAGGGAGAAAGGAAGGAGGAAAGAAAAGAGAGGGAAAGGAATGGAAATGAAGGAGAGAGAGAGAAGGAAGAAGGAAAGGGAAGGAAGGAGAGGGAAAGAAAAGAGAGGGAAGAACAGAAGGAAGAAGGGCAGGAAGGAAGGAAGGAAGGAAGAGAGGAGAGAGAAAATAAAGGGAGAAAAGAAAGGAAGGGAAAAGAAAGGAAGGAGAGATGGAAGGAAGGAGGAAAGGAAAGAGAGGGAAAGGAGGGAAGGAAAGGAAGGAGAGACGGACGGACGGAGAAAAGGAAAGAGGAAAAGGAGGAAAGGAAGGAGAGAGGGAAGGAAGGAGGAAAGAAAAGAGAGGAAAGGAGGGCAGAAATAATGGAAGGAGGAAGAGGGAGAAAAAAGAAAGGGAGAAAGAAAAGGAAAAGAAAGGAATGAGAGAGAGAAGGAAGGAAGAAAAGAGAGGAAAAGGAGGGAAGGAAAGGAAAGAGAGAAAAGGAAAGGGAAGGAAGGGAGAAAAGAAGAGAGAGAGAAAGGGAGGAAAGCAAAGAGAAAAGGATGAGAGGGAGGATAGGAACAAAAAGCAAAGGAAGGAGAAGGAAGGAGGGAAGGAAAGAGGGCAGAATGAAAGGAAGGGAGGAGAGGGAAAGGAAAGAGGGAAGGATGGAAGAAGAGCAGAAAGAATGGAAGGAAGGATGGAGAAAGAAAAAGGGAGCAAGGAAGGGAATGAAGAAGACAGGAAAGGGAAAGGAAGGAAGGAAGGAAGGATGCCTGTAGCCAAGTCCCACTCTCTCAGCCTCCAATAAAGGCGAAGGCCAATCTCCTTTGAATAGATCTGGACCAAAAAAACCTTTTGTGATAGTCTCAAATGCCTTGAAAGCACACAACAACACTTCTAATGAACGTGACCCTCTCATCAGTCAGAAACACATTTCCCATTGAAACACTGGTAAGTTTATGTTGGTCTAAACTATTCTTCATTTTCAATATTGTATTCTTCTTTCATATTAATATATATTTGCAGTACCAGTAAGATACATCCAATGAGCATGTACAATTACCCTTCATTCGTTCCGACCTGCCTGACCTCTCTCTGGCCAGATAAGGGGAGAAAACAACAGATAATAATATCCCAATCATTAACAGAGAGCTTGAATCATTAACCAGGAATGGAGAGTCAAGTTTGGTCTCGCTTAAATTTCTGAGAGAGTGTGATGTTGCCCACATTTCCCTTGAAAGTGTAGGGTGATACTCAAAGTACTGCTTCTTGACTCTGATTCAAATGTGTTTTACTGTTGTTAACATTCTGGATGGGGCCCCCAGAGGTCATCTAGTCCCACTTCTTGCACAATCAAGCACTTACCGCAGGAGGGCAGGCCTCCATGTCCGTGGCCCCATCTCCAATCATGACCACCTTCTTGAACTGGAACTGCTCCTTCAAGTAGCTGATCACTTGCCCTTTGCCTCCCGACTCAGCCGTCGGCTGCGTCTCGTCGAAACCGGCGTATTCACCTACAAAGGAGACATGCAACATGTTATGGGGTTGCCTTGCGTATTAGGGAAAGTATTGCAACCAAGGAAGCTGGCAGAGGGGTGCTGAATCCATTCCAGGTTTTGTTTTGAACTTGTTTTGCATCTCACAACGTTCAAAAGGATGGATTCGCCACCCTGGCATGGGGCTACGCTATGCTACATCTATGTGAAACACATTTTGCATGCACAACAATGATGAGAAGCGCATCCTTTTTGGAGCAGAGTTCATTGGACTACAACTCCCAAAACCCCCCAATTGGCAGATCTTTACAGCCTAACACCAAGCAACTCTTCCAAAAGCTATAGAGTGCCATTCTTAAGGAAACACACTCCTTTCTTTTGAATAGTGAGGTCTATCTCTTATATCCCTTTGTCATTCCGTGACTTCCCAAAGAGGGAGGTGTCATTTACAATCATTGTGGTCATTTGCTCCCATCTGTATAACTGGATGGCCCTTCGGGTCTCTTACAACTCTAATAATAATAATAATAATAATAATAATAATAATAATAATAATAATAATAATAATAATAATAATAATACGATTTAAAGATCAAACTATAAAGACTCTGGCACAACCAGTCAAGGTGGTCCCAGTGGTGATCGGCACACTGGGTGCAGTGCCGAAAGACCTTGGTCTGCACTTAAACACAATTGGCGCTGACAAAATTATCATCTGCAAGCTGGAGAAGGTCACCTTACTGGGATTTGCACGCATTATTCGCCGATACATCACACGGTCCTAGACACTTGGAAAGTGTCCGACGTGTGAACCAATACAAAAGCTAGCAGAGTGATCTTGTTTGGTGTGTATTCATCTTGTATTGTTTCAAATAACAACAACAATTGATAATAATATAATCTTCCTGCCTGGCAGAAGAGGGTTGGACTGGATGGCCCTTGGGGATCCCTTTCAACTCTAGAAGAATAATAATGATGATGATAATTATTATTATTATTATTCTTCTTCTTCGCCAATACATCACACAGTCCTAGACACTTGGGAAGTATCCGATGTGTGAGCCAATAAAACAGCCAGCAGAGTGATCTTGTTTGATGTGTATTCATCTTGTTGTGTTTCAAATAGTAACAACAACAATAATGGATAATAATATAATCTTCCTGCCTGGCAGAAGAGGGTTGGACTGGATGGCCTTTGGGGGTCCCTTTCAATTCTAGGAGAATAATAATTTTTTATTATTATTATTATTATTATTATTATTATTATTATTCGCCAATACATCACACAGTCCTAGATACTTGTGTGATCCAATACAACAGCCAGCAGAGTGATCTTGTTTGCTGTGGACTCATCTTGTGTTTCAAATAATAATTATTATATAGTAACTCTTATCTTCCTTTCTGGCAGAAGGGAATTGGACTGGATGACCCTTGGGGTCCTATCCAACTTTAGAAGTATAATAATAATAATGATAATAATAATGGATAATAATATAATCTTCCTGCCTTGCAGAAGGGGTTTGGACTGGATGGCCCTTGGGGGTTCCTTTCAACTCTAGGAGAATAATAATAATAACAACAATTATTATTATTATTATTATTATTATTATTATTATTATTATTATTATTATTATTATATAGTAACTCTATCTTCCTTCCTGGACTGGATGGCCCTTGGGGTCCCATACAACTCTAGAAATAAAATAATAATAATAATAATAATAATAATTTTTAAATACGACAATAATGGATAATAATATAATAGCAATTCTGTGTTCTTTTCTAGCTGGAGAAGATGCACTGGGAAACCTCTCTCCTTGCTCTGCAACTCCCAAAAGCCTGGGGAGAGAGAGAGGACTCTGGGACAGCTAGTGGAACAAACGCGGGGGAAAGGTTTCTCTGGTTTGGGTTCATGGGGTCCTTCCTTCGGTTAAGGTTTAACTCAAAGGCAGGAGTCAGCAGGTTTTGCAGAAACCGTTTATCGTAGTTATCATGTGGCTTGATAAAAGCGAGTCCTTCAAGGTTAAGGGAAGAAGACTCTGTCCTGCTGCAGTTGACCTCAGCAAAATGGTTCCGGGTTCAAAGGATAAATACAAAGGCGCTGACCCAGAGCTTTGGCTGCCTGAGGCCAAGTCCCAAGAGGATGAAGTGACCCCCAAGGGCCATCCAGTCCAACCCTCTTCAGCTGGGCAGGAAGATAGAATTACTATTATATTATTATTAATTATTTTCTATTGTTATTTTCTATTATTGTTGTTGTTGTTATCAGACTTCTAGAGTTGGTGGAGTCCCCCAAGGGCCATCCAGCCCAACCCGCTTCCGTCAGGCAGGAAGATAGAATGACTGTGATATTATTATCCATTATTATCTATTGTTATCCAATTTTGTTGTTATTATTATTAATATTAGACACGTATAGTTTGAAGGGATCCTAAGGGTCATCCAGTCCAACCCTCTTCTGCCAGGAAGGAAGACAGAATTACATTATTATTATTATTATTATTATTATTATTATTATTATTATAGTTATTATTGTTATTATTAGATTCCTAGAGTTGGAGGAAACCCCTCAAAGGCCATCCAGCCCAGCCCTCTTCAGTCAGGCAGAAGATAGAATCACTGTGATATTATTATCCATTATTATCTATTGTTATTCGTGTTGTTGTTGTCAGACTCATCAAGTTGGGAAGGAACTCAAGGGCAACCCAGTCCAACCCCCTTCCATCAGGAAGGTAGATAGAATTACTATTATATTATTATCCATTATTATTATCATTATTATTATTTGAAACACAACAAGATGAGTCCACAGCAGACACTCTGCTGGCTGTTGAATTGGGTCACACGTCGGACACTTCCCAAGTGTCTATTATAATTATTATAATTATTACAATTATTATTCTCCTATAGTTTGAAGGGACTCCAAGGGCCATCCAGCCCAATGCCCTTCCACCAGGAAGGAAGACAGAATTACTTGTTGTTGTTGCTGGACTCATAGAGTTGGAAGGGATTCAAAAAGGCCATCCAGTCCAGCCCCCTTCCACCAGGAAGGAAGATAGAATTAGTATATTATTATTATTATTATTATTATTATTATTATTATTCTCCTATAGTTGTAAGGAACCCCAAGGACCATCCAGCCCAACCCCCTTCTGCTGACCAATTGACTTGCAAACAGTCAGCCATTGGGTTTCTAGACTGGATGGGGATTCCCGATCCATCTCTTAAAACTATGTTTCTCTTGAATAGTCCTCATGGGAAGCCATGGGACTCCAGTGCTTACCGTTAAAGTAGAACTTGAGCCGGTTGGCAAAGACGTTGGCGGCGGGGATGCCGAGCTGCGAGGCCACATGTTCCACGATGCTCTGGAACCCGCCAGAGACCAAGAAGACCTGGACGCCCCGCTGCTGCAGCCGGTTGACCAGCTCCCTGCCAGGGAAAAGGAAGGGAAACTTTGTTCTTGGGGCTGATGCAAACTAGGTTGAGATACACACACACACATAAGCTGTCCCTGCCATGCATTGCTGTTGCCCAGTCTGGTGATCTGGAAAATAAACTAATGAGAAAGTGATGGTTTCTAATATATGTAATTTTTTATGCTTGTGGGTAAACGGTATTTCTTGCTGTTTCTTTGTCAGTGTTGATTTGGAGATTGTCTGGTTTGCCTAATCTGAAACATGCAACGTATAATTGTCCTTTTTGGGGTGTCCCTTTCAAATCTATGAGATAAATGTATGAATCATATCTATTTACTATCTATGTATATCTATGGCTGGATGGCTCTTTGTCAGGAGGGCTTTAATTATGTTTTCTTGCCCCTGTGAAGGGAGTTGGACTGGATGGCCTTAAGTGTTTTCTGTTGGTCATGTGGGACGTTTGGCCCAATTCTGTTGGTGGGGTTTAGAATGCTCCTTGGTTGTAGATGAATTATAAATCCCAGAATTCATCTCCCAAATGTCAAGATCTATTTCCTCCAAACGCCATCTGTGTTCATATTTGGGCATATTTAGTATCCCTGCTAAGTTTGGTCCAGACCCATCATTGTTTGAGCCCACAGTGTTCTCTGGATGTAGGTGAACTACAACTCCCAAACTCAAAGTCAATGCCCATCAACCCCTTCTAGTGTTTTCTGTTGGTCATGGGAGTCCTGTGTGCCATGTTTGGTTCAATTCCATCATTGGTGGAGTTCAGAATGATCTTAGATTGTAGGTGAACTATAAATCCCAGCAACTACAACTCCCAAAATCAGTTTTTTTGAGTGATGGTCACTCCTTGGGTTAGTAGGTGTCTTGTGGCCAAATTTGGTAGCAATTTGTCCAGTAGTTTTTGAGTTATGTTAATCCCACAAACGAACATTACATTTTTATTTATATAGATATAGATATGTATATAAACTTGGTTTAGCATAAGGAAGGGTCAACCCCCCTGAAGGCAAAGGCATCTGACCTGATCCCTGGGGTCAGCTGTGGCGGATGCTCCGAGATGAGCTTCTGGACTTGTTCGTAAGATGGGCGGATGAGCCCCAACCGGGCCGTGAGTGCTGCCTTGAAGGTGACTGTCCCTCCCATTGCACGGCGGGTCCTGCATCGCAATGCGGGGGTGAAAAAAAAAACATATTAAGGGCCTGCGTAATTCACAATCCCAAATTTTAGTGCTGTGAGTGTTTTGGAGCTTAGTCCAGAAAGTCGGTCATCGAGAGACTATTATTATTATTTGAAATACAACAAGATGAGTCCACAACAGACAAGATCTCTCTGCTGGCTGTTGTATTGGATCACACGTCGAACACTTTCCAAGTATCTAGGACTATGTGATGTCTCGGCAAATAATGCGTGCAGATCCCAGTAAGATGGCCTTTTGCAGCTGGCAAATGGTAATTTTGTCAGCGCCGATTGGGTTTAAGTGCAGGCCAAGGTCTTTAGGCACTGCACCCAGTGTGCCGATCACTACTGGCACTACCTTGACTGGCTTGTGCCAGAGATGATGATGGTTGTTATTATTATTATTATTATTATTATTATTGAAAGTGGGATATAAATGGATTTAAAAAACCCACAGAAGCAGCTACATCAGGCTCTACAGATTGTTTTGGGCTATTATTATTATTATTATTATTATTATTATTATTTATATGCCACACTTTCTCTCTGACAAGAGACTCTCATTTGGCAGATGATAATTTTGTCAGTGCCAATTGTGTTTAAGTGCAGGCCAAGGACTTTAGGCACTGCATATTATATTATTATTATTATTATTATTATTATTATTATTATTATTATTATTATTTTACTGACACAAAAGCACAGTACGTCACATCAAACRAGATCTATATGCTGGATTTCATATMAAAAAATCACAAGTCGAACACTTTCTAAGCGTCTAGGACTGTGTGATGTATTTTCGAATGATGCGTGCAGATCCAAGTAAGGTGGCCTTTTGCAGCTGACAGATTGTGATTTTGTCAGTGTTGATTCTTTATTATTATTATTAGAAACACAACAAGATATTATTATTATTATTATTTTTATTATTATTATTATTATTATTGGAGCTCCCRGTAGCACAATGGGTTAAACTGCTGAGCTGCTGAACTTGCTGATCGAAAGGTCRCAGATTCAAATCCAGGGAGCGGGGTGAGCTCCCGCTGTTAGCCCCAGCTTCTGCCAACCTAGCAGTTCAAAAACATGCAAATGTGAGTAGACCAACTGCTGCTCTGAGATCAGAGTGAAGAGAGGGGCCAGGAAGGTAGTTCCATCTTGTCTCCTGCACTGTGCTTATAATATAATATACATATAATATTGATATTATTATAATGTAATACAATATAATACTACAAATAATACGATATTATAATTATATATTTTATATTATATGTAATATTACTAATAATATTACAGTATAACATTATAGTACAATATAGTAATATACAATATTAATATTGTGCTATGGTAATAATATAATATATTGTATTTACATATTACTTGTAGACTGCTCTGAGACCCCTTCAGGGTGAGAAGGGTGGCATATATATGTTGTAAATATATATAATATTAATAATGTGCTATGGTAATAATATAATATATTGTATTTACATATTACTTGTAGGCTGCTCTGAGAAGGGTGGCATATAAATATTGTAAATTAATAAATAGGTACTGCCTTGGCGGGAAGATAACGGTGCTCCATGCAGTCATGCATATGGCCACATGACCCTGCAGGTGTCTATGGACAATGCTGGCTTAGAAATAGAGATGAACACCAACCCCCAGAGTCGGACACGACTAGATTTAATGTCAGGGGAAAACCTTTACTTTTACCTTTCCAATCATTATTAGTGTCACTATTATTATGCAGTGGAGATACATCCCCGGAGTTTTGGAATTGATCCCTTGATTTAGAAGAAGAGAAGGAAGAAGAAGGAGAAGAAGAAGAATCCTGAGATATTTGACGGGATCCCTTCCCTTAACTAATAATAATAAGAGGAAGAGGAGGAATGTGTTCTGCAATGTAGATGCACCCCAAAACCCTAGATAGATAGATAGATAGATAGATAGATAGATAGATAGATAGATAGATAGATAGATAGATAGATAGAGGATACGTACATTTCAGCCACGGCATCACCGACCCCGCAGAACTTGGCCAGCTCGTCGATGCCTTCCTCCCGGATGACGGTGCTGTCCACATCGAAGCAGACGGCGTCGGCGTTGAGGAAGGTCTCCTTCAGCTCCATCAGCGAGGCCATCGTCCTCTTGGGCGCCTTCCTGTGTTGGGAGAGGAAGGGCAGGCTGTTGTGGTCGCCATTCTGCTGGTTCCAGGTCTGGGCCATCTTTGGGCTCTGGTGCCTGAATGGAAAGGGAGTTGCTGCTGGCGGAGCAGTCCCTTTTGAGCCCGAGGGGGTGTCCGGAGGCGGGGAGCAGCGCCGCATCTGATTCGTTGGCTTTGGCCGGTGTTGGCTTTGGCCCTTTGTTGGCTTTGCCCTTGGGCAAGGAGTCAAGGCTGGCCTTAAACCTTTCCTGACGTCAAGAACACTGGCGCTGAGCCCGAGATTGCTCCAAGAGCGGCTCTCCTTCCCTGGCCCTATACCACCATGTAACAACATTTGGATATGTTCCTGGACTGAAAGTGTTATTTCCTGTTTAATTGTGCAGTCCTTACTTTGAATGTCATTATCATACTCCAAGAACTTTGCTTTTGTGGCAGAAACTATGCTGAATTGGTTGAGACTCAATGATGAAAAACTATCACTGTTCCTCCTGCACAGACAAAAGTTTGTGCGGTTTCATAAATTTTTCCCCATGTTTTTAGGATAGAACCAATTAGGAAATGGCATTGATAAATCATAGTGTTACATGGCATTTTATTATTTTACTAGCTGTACCCGCCACATGTTGCTGTGTCCAACCTTCCCTTTCTTTCCTTCTTTCTTTCCTTCCTTCCCATCTTTCCTTCTCTTCTTCCTTCCTTCTCTATCTCTTCTTTCCCCCTTTTCTTTCTCTTCTGCTCTCTTTTCTTCCTTCTCTTTCCTTCTTTCCTTTCCTCCCTCTTTCTCTACATCTTCCTCCTTCCTTCGCTCCCTCTTTCTTCTTTCCCTTTTTTCTTTCCTTCTCTCCTTCCTTCTCTAACTTTACTTCCTTCCCCCTTTTTTCCCCTCCCTTTCTCTCCTTTCTTCCTTCTCTACCTCTTTCCTTCCTTCTCTCTTTGCCTCCATGCTTCCTTCTCCCTTTCCTTCTTTCTTTCCTTCCCTCTTTCTTTTTTTCCTCCTCTTCCCTCCCCCTTTCTTACTTTTTTCTGTATTGTCATTTAACTTTTCATCATTTAGGTTTTTGGGGCTTTTTAAGTCTCATCTACTGTGTTTTTCAGTGTTTTTATGACTGAAGGACATACATTGGGTTGTTAGGTGTCTTGTGTCCAAATTTAGTGTCAATACCCCCAATGGTTTTTGAGTTCTGTTAATCCCACAAATGAACATTACATTTTTATTTCTATAGATTATATTATTATTATATTATATTATTATTATTATTATTATTATATTATTATCATTATATTATAATTACATATTATATTATTATAATATAATATGTGGCAGGCTGATGTACCTCCTGCAAAGATAAAGTTTGTGCAGTTTATTAAATGTTTCCCATGTTTATAGGATAGAACCAATTAGGAAAGGACATTGATAAATCATAGTGTTACGTGGTATTTTATCATATTTATTATTATTATTATTAATATATTATAATTACATATCATATTATTACAATGTAGTATAATGTGCGGAAGGCTGATGTCCCTCCAACAAAGACAAAGTTTGTGCAGTTTATTAAACGTTTCCCATGTTTATAGGATATAACCAATTAGGAAAGAACATTGATAAATCATAGTGTTACGTGGTATTTTATTATATTTATTATAATATTTTTATTATTATTAATAATATATTATAATTACATATATTATTATAATATAATAATATAATATAATATACGGCAGGCTGATGTCCCTCCGGCAAAGACAAAGTTTGTGCAGTTCATTAAATGTTTCCCATGTTTATAGGATAGAACCAATTAGGAAATGACATTGATAACCCAGGAACTAAAATAATGTTAAATATAATAATATATATTAATAATAATATATAATATATACTAATATTGTTATATTTGTCTGGCAGAGAGTTTTGTGTGTGTATGTGTGTGTGTGTATACACACACACACACACACACACACACAACTCCCTGCCAGAAGGTACAGAGAGTTTCATCTATGCTGAGGATCGTGCCATCACCACCCAAACAGGGAGCTTTGAAATGGTTGAACAGAAGCTCTCTGAAGCTTTAGGTGCTGCACATCACATGTGTCGAACCTGACCCAGCAGCTTATGATACTGCAAATCATCACCTTCTCCTGAGAAAAACTTATCACAAAGGATTACCACCTCACTCACTTCATAGGAAATCTACTACAAAACAGGAGCTTTTTTGTTGAGTTTTAAGGCCAGAGAAACAGATGGTGAAAACAGAACGGCCTGTTTCAGGGGAATGTCCTTGCTCCAACCATGTTTAACATTTACACAAATGACCAGCCACTGCCAGAAGGAACAGAGTTTCATCTATGCTGATGATTGTGCCATCACCACCCAAGCAGGGAGCTTTGAAAGGGTTGAACAGAAGTTTTCTAACCTTTAGGTGCTCTTACTGCCTATTACAGGGAAAACCAGCAGAAAATCCATTTAAAATGCAGACGTGTGCTTTCCATCTTAAGAACAGACAAGCATTCCGAGATCTAAGGATGACCTGGGAATGAATCCTACGGGAGCATTGCAGCACACCCAAATATCTGGGAGTCACTCTGGACTGTGCTCTGAATATCAAGCAAAAACTGGGTGCTAGAAATAGTATCATCTGAAAGCTAACTGGAACAACCTGGGGATCACAACCAGACACAGTGAAGACATCTGCCCTTGCGTTTTGTTGAATATGCATGCCCAGTGTGGAATACATCTCACCATGTTAAAACAGTAGATGTGGCTGTGTAATGCTAAGTTTTTAACTTTGTTTGTGTTTTAAATACATTATAACTGTATTTTCAATTCGTTTCTGACACAAATAAATAAATATAATACAATTATAATAATATAATAATAAATATAATAATATAATAAGTGCTTCAGAACAGGACGCAAATGGGATCCCTTCTGCTTCCTCTGGTTGCTGTTTGCTCAGACGAGGCAACATGGGAGGAATTAGGGGTCTTTGCCCCCTGGGACAGTCTATGTCTGGGCTTCTTCTCATCCAGGAAGTTGGGAAAGTCCTGCTCTGACCTTCTGAAAGGGCGGTGACCTGCGTCACGGGTACCCAAAGCATGACATAATGTCCCCGTCTCCCCCGCATTACAATAGGAGCCTCCTGCATCGCCAAAGGCATTTGCACCAAACCGTTGGGCAACGTTTGAGGCGCATTGCGTTGTCAAAATGACGTCAAGTCGGACCGGACCTCCCTGGTAGTCTCTTCCAACTCTGGGATTCTAAGATATCTACCTTTCCTGTCCTTTCCCATTTATGGATGATTTACGCTGAACACGAACCCTCTATGCGTTGGGTGTAACCAGCCATATGTATGTGTGTATGAATATGGATAGATAGATAGATAAATACATATAGATATGGCTGGCGTTGCATGTAAAAAATAATGTACCTGTTCCAACTCACAAACTAATTTGTGTGTGTGTTTGTGTGCGCGCGCACACCCTGTTTCCCTAAAAACAAGACCTACCTTGAAAATAAGCCCTAGCATGATTTTTCAGGATTTTTGAGGATGCTCAAAATATAAGCCCTACTTCAAATAATAAGCCCTCGTTACACTTCATTAAAAAAAAGTCAATTTAAATAGTGTCCAGGCAGCTATATATAGGCCATAATGAATCTTTTGGAACAAAAATTAATATAAGAACCTGTCTTATTTTCAGGGAGAGTATATGCATTGTTATAGCATGTATGTGTGCGTGTGTGTGAGTGTGTATATATGTAAGTTTTAGGCACTCAAGGGGCCTCTGTGTATGTGTGTATTTATACATATATATTTGGCTGGAGTTGCATGTAAAAAATGATTTACCTGTTCTGACTTACAAACAAGTGTGTGTGTGTATACACATATGTTATAGCATGTATAAGCTTTAGGCACTCAAGGGGGCATCTATGTATATGTGTATATATATATGTATATATATATGGCTGGAGTTACATTTAAAAATGATATACCTGTTTCAACTTACAAATTCATATCAATTATTATAGCATACATATGTGTGTGTATAAGCATGTTTTAGATACTTAAGGGGCCTCTGTATATATGTGTGTGTATATACAGTATATATACACATATATATTTGGCTGGAGTTACATGTAAAAAATGAGGTACCTGTTCCAACTTACAAACAAATGTATATCTAAACACACACACGGTTATAGCATGTATGTATGTGTGTGTGTGTGTGTATAAGTTTTAGGCACTCTAAGGGGCCTCTGTGTGTGTATGTGTGTGTGTGTCTGGCTGGAGTTACCTGTAAAAAATTATATACCTGTTCCAACTTACAACTTCACACACATACATACACACACACTGTTAGAACGTGTGTGTATGTATATGTGAGTTTTAAGCACTCAAGAGGGCCTCTATGTGTGTGTATGTGTGTATACATATATGGCTGGAGTTACATGTAAAAATGATATACCTGTTCCAACTTACAAATTCTCATATATATATATACACATACACACGCATATACACATAGACACACACACACACCGTTATAACGTGTGTATGTATATGCAAGTTTTAGGCACTCAAGCAGGCCTCTGTATATGTGTGTACGCGTGCTATTAAAGGCAGTCCCCAAGTTACGAACAAGACCAGTTCGGTAGGTTTGCTCTTCAGTTGAATTTGTTTGTAAGTCAGAACAGGGACAAATTGGGACAATTTACGCTTAATACTAATCCTGCTCATTGGATGTGGTCTGGTGAAATAATCCCGATACATAATTATCAGAGCTTGCATGATCCTTTCTTGGGAAAGCCTTGACTGTGTCTTCCTGCCTGTCTGAAATGGGGTGGACTGGATGCCCTTTGGGGTCCCTTCCAACTCTGGGATATTATTATTATTATTATTATTATTATTATCAGAGCTTGGATGACCCTTTCTTGGGAGGGCTTTGACCAATAGCAGTAGCTTCCCATGTCTCTCTTAGGAAAGACCCCCACCTTAAACAGCACTCTTGTTTTAGGACATCCAACTGAATAGAAGGGCAGCTTCCCATCCCTGCAGCTGGTTCTAACCTGATTCCATCCTGATGTTTTGGTTCTAAGAAG